GGTCAACAAATTGTCTCGGAATTTGCGGGTGCTTCTTTCCAGGCTTGGAGCTTTCGTGGCCCTGGTTTGTCTGTGTCTCCGTGAAGTCTCTAAATCACTCAATATAGTCCTTGTTGGCAAGAGCTTGCTGAGTGCCCTGCCATCGGTGGGAACTTCTTGCAAAAGGCCCTGGGCTCCGTGTTACAGCTTTTCAGGTGAAAACACAGACTCAAACAGAAGACCGATTGCTGTGCCAACGTGCTCCGGCCTGAAGTTCCTCCTCTGTGATACCGTTGCCTTGCACACAGCTGCTTCCAGCAGCCGCCGTACTTTGCAAGGCGCCCATGCGTCGTGTGCCAGCCTCGAAGGCTTTCGACGATGTCGCAGAATGTCTCTTTAGACACTCTTTCCAGCTCCTCCCGAACCTGGCGAGCGGGAATGTTAAGAATGCCGGCTGAAAGCAGCTCCTCAGTGGGATCAGGCGGTGCTATGATGCCCGAGCACCGGCTGGTTTGGAGTCCGAGCCTATATGCTTCCAAGGCCCATATCTGGACACCACCTTCAGACACCTGACTGTGCACTTTGATTCCGTTGGCATTGTCACTCGTAATGTTTCCAGATCTGCAATCGGTGATTGCTTTTGTCTCTTGCCTGCTGTCTCTCCGCACGAGAAGCTTAAACTCGAAAAGGCTCTTGCCACCTTGCCTTATTCCACTGTAGCTACTGTTTTGGACTCGGGTTGAGCGATTCCCGATTTGTGTTGGGCGTACATTCTTACATTTTCATGCAAAAAAGAGAGCATCGTCTGCTTTTCTGGCAGACTGCCGCTCTCGCCAAACATGCTTTAAGACGGAAGGGCAGCCATTCACGCAGCCGCGTGTAATCCTGCACACTCCGGCCTTCGTCAATCCTCAACCTCAGCCCTCCGAAACCTGAAAACGAGGCCAAACATTCCATCGAAACGCCGAAGCCGAACAGAAGCAACAAATGCCCGCAATGACCGCAGAGGAACCCGAAGAAAGGCCACGATGACTCCGACGGAAGAGGACAACCCTAAAGCCTAACCCTGAACCCTAATTCCTAAACCCTAAAAGCCCCAAACCCATGGAAGAGAAAACCGCAGAACGGCCCCTCCGGGCCTCAGTCGCCATCCGAGCCTTGGCCTTCGGCCTGGCCGTCTTCGGGGAAGAAAGAGTCGCATGTCGATTTAAAGGTTGAGGATGTGGTGCTTTGTCCGGGTTCCTTGATGCTCCGTCTGTGAACCTGCAAAGGGTCTTTCGTGGAGATTCGGCATGCAGCCTCCGACCCAAAGCTTTGACACTAACTGCTGGGCCTAGAATGAAAGCCCGCAGCCGAACCCCCGACAATTCCACTTGGATTCCCTGCGTGTACGCCTCGATGTATGCGCACCACAGCAGCCTACCAAGCCCACTAGCCTGGCCGATGTAGATGTGCGGCGAGATGGATGCCTGGACAAGCCTGTGAGCTTCCACGCCCGCTCACGAAGACTTCGGGGATCGTCAGAGGAACAGTTTGGGATATTCCCGTGGACCTAGTCATGCGGGTGGCATCTGCTCGATGAACGCAAGCCGGAGAACCCACCCAAAAAGCTCAAAAATTGGCAACCACACCTAACCACGAAGCAACAGGCCCCCGGCACCGTCGGCTTCGCCCAGGCCCGGCAGCTTTGGCCAAGGCCTGCGCACCGGCCCGCCGGAATTTTGAGTGTTCAGAAGCGGTTTTGGGGTCCAAAGAAGACATATCCTAGCACTTCGAAGTCGGCTCGCAGCATTGGTAAACAGCTCCACAGATGGGAGAGCGAGCCGGTTGCAGCTCCACAGATGCGGTTGCATGGCTGGCCTTGTCTCTCTGGTTGGGAGGCCAGGAGAAAGGAAAAATGGCCCAGCCCCTGATGCTAATACTTGCTGTAGCGTGACTTCATCACGTGCCACGATGGGTTCTGTTCAAACTTGATGGCAGATGATGGCAGCATGGCAGCGAATGTCAGTCATGGATGGACATGGGACACTGCGAGCCGAAACAGCCACCAGGTCGCTGTTTGTCCCCTGCGAAGCGCCAAAAGGTCACCATACTCCTGTTGCCCCTAGCAACAGCGATCAAAAGACATCTGCAAAACTGAGGAAAAGCCTTTAAGAGAACACTGAGAGACAAGGATGAATGTTGGAGGGTAGCAGTCGCTAGTCGAGATCTGTTAGGCCTCAACCGCGTACAACTTTCCGTGTTGACGGTACAGTAATCTGATAGACAAGTTCTTTCAGGCTTCTTGAGGCTCTCCGCAAGGTCGTGGAGGATTCGAGCCTCCAAGTCTCGAGATACACCTGCTTTTTTGACGACTTTCGTGCTCTGAGCCCTGGGGCTTCTGAAGCCCGGAAGGTCCACACGGCACCTCACCACCAAGCCTCCAGACCCGACGGGAACGACGGACTGTTGCCCTGCTGCGGCGGCTTCGGATCCTGAGCCGACGAAACCTCAATGACAGAAAAACTCCGAGGACCTGAACAGGAACAGCAGCTCCAAATGGATCACAACAAGAAGATCACGGATTATCGAATAACCTCTGTGAAGCCCAGGCCCTTGGCCCTCTGGAAGCGCCCTCCAGCCTTCCAAGGAAGCTTTTTTTCCATCCGTTGCAAGGTCGGCTCTTGTCGTATCCGGTCAAAGCCGGTCCGCCTAGCCGCGGGCCCAGCCTGGGGTATATTGATTAACTTCGAGGCTGTCAAGCAGTCGCTGCCTGCCTCCCCCCTCTCATCTTATGTCACAGTGCTCTCCTGACTCCCATCAAGTTCAAGCCACGAGAATCTCACAACCGGATGACGGCACCTCCCGTGTTTGATGGTATTCTCGACTACTAACTACTAACTACTAACTACTGACTACTAACTACTAACTACTAACTACTAACTACTAACTACTAACTACTAACTACTAACTACTAACTACTAACTACTAGCTACTAGCTACAACTACTAACTACAAACTACTAAATACTAACTACTAACTACTAACTACCAACTACCAACTACCAACTACCAACTACCAACTACCAACTACCAACTACTAACTACTAACTACTAACTACTAACTACTAACTACTAACTACTCACTACTAACTACTAACTACTAACTACTAAGTACTAACTACTAACTAAGTACTAACTACGAACTACTAACTACTAACTACTAACTAACTACGAACTACTAACTACAACTACGACTACGACGACGAC